TAAGTCTCATTGCGTTGGCCTCCCATCTGAAGTGAGGTGCCTTGGGGGGCTGTGCGAGGTCAGGAAGGGCAGGGGGCTTGGCTAGCATGGCCTGCTCGCGCAGGGCCCCCGCGAACACGTTGCCTGGCGCGCGCGCAGCCAGCTCAGCAGCGCGCGCAGGAACGAGCGAAATCAGCTCATCAACCTGAGGGCGGCTGGCATGTCGGTGCACCAGGGCGCCGTCGCATTCCTGGCGCGGCAGGCGCGCTGGGTCTGGTATCCAACCCTGGCCGTGCTGTCTTGCTTGGGGCCGCTGGGCCCCAATGGCAGCCGAGCGAAGGTCCGCGGCCTGTTGGGCCGCGGCCACCCGGGAATCGCACGGCGCGCGCAAGGGTTCGATCCAGACCCGCTCGGGGAACGTGGGGACGTCGAAATGCCAGGAAACCTTAGACGTGCTGCCGAGGGGCCGCAGCTCTCCCAACCCAAACCATGGCAGACATGGGGGAAGGCTCCGTAGGAGTAGCCACCTGCCCGTTGGGCAAAATCCAAGCATCCAGCTCGCCAGCGTCGATGCACGCCCTGTGCGCCGAGGCCCGCGGGGCCGAGAACCGTCCCTTAGTGGCCTGCCTGGTGGAACTGCGGGGGCCCGGCATCGCAGCAGCAGCCGTGCCCTTAAGCGGCATTGGTGCCCTTGCGGCGGCTGGGCGTAAATGACAGGGCTGGCGACCTGGATCTGCCGGCAGCTCGCGAGTCCAAGGCGGCGGCAGCCATGGTGCGAAGTGCTTCCAACTCCGTCATGCTCGTCTCCTGAGCGATCGTGGCAGAGGTTATTAGCGTCCCAGCCGATGCGCGTGTCATGTGCTGCAATGTCTTCTTCCTAGCATGAGCTCCCTGGAGGTGTCGACGACGCTGTAGGTTCTGCGCGGCAAGAAGTATGCGCGCTGCGTATGCGTGCCTTCTCGAGGCTCGCGCGGTAGGGGAGTCCACTCCAGGGTTGCGCTCAGAATGCGCCCAGACTGCTTTAAGTGACATGGGGCGTCTTTGAAGCCGCGTCCGCAGCTCAAAACTACTGGCGATCGCGCGAGACTTATCAAGGGCAATGGTCACGTCGACCCCTTGCGCCCGTACTTAAGCATGCGTCCGCCCCCCGACGCCTCATCCCAGACTCGCTGAGCGCCCCCGCATCTCTGCAGACTCGCATCGTCAACGCGCGCAGCAATAGGGACCTTTGGGCATACCCGTCGATCGGCACCCGCGGATCTAGCCCGCGCGAGCTGCAGCAGACGCGTGGCAAGGAGGCAACCAGGCATGATTGTCGGACCGACCGGCCACTCCTGAGTGCCAGGACCTTGGAACTCGAGCGCTCGGGGGGCACTGTGCGCTGGCGCCAGAAAGCTCGATCGACCAGAACGGGAAGCGCGTTTTGAAGTCGTGCCAGGTGAGTTCGAACGCTTTCGTAGAGTCGGCGAGGAGCGCGGCCGAATCGCTGCCCGCGTCGCTGCGATGCTCGGCTCAACCAGCCCGCTGCCAAGCCAGAGCCTTTTTGTTTTGAAGGCAGATCTGCCTCCAAACTGGTCCACTCTGGAAGAGGGGCTTTTTGGAAGGCAGGTCTGCCTTCAAGAAAAACTAATCTACTTGGTGAGAACGGGAGACTGTTCTGACAGAGTAGACAATTTTTTTGAAGACAGATCTGCCTTCAAAGACCGTTTTTACAAAGTAGCTTAGCCGACTTGCCCTGGACAGCCAACCAGGGATAACGATCAGCCTGCTGCCGCTTGCTCAAAATGCCACGTCTGAATCGAGCCAGCACCCGGCATATATAATGCAAGTCCGAACGGCCTGTCTCCTCCAAGACTCTTGAGGCTTAAAACGACGCGGGTGGTCATCGGCGGCCGCTCGACGAGGCGCTCTATCACGGAGATAAGCTGGTAGAGCAGCTCAAGAGCAACATCGGGCAATATTGAAGGCTGCCTGGGGTTGCCTCGGTTTCGGATGCTCTCTTGAGGTGTCCGACGGTGGGGTGCGTGTGGTTCTGTCTCCGAGGCTTTGAGGCCACGGGGTGGGAAGACTTTTTCGCTGCTTCATTAACCCGCTACCAGTTGCTCCAATCCACCTCGATAGTCTCGACCTCTTCCATAGAGTCAGCAGGGCCATGCCGCGCTAGCGACGCAGGCTGCCGAACACCAGGCAACTTTTATACTTGGAAAGGGCAGCCGGGCCATGGGCCGAATGCGTTCTGGTTTTGAACCATTGCTCCCATCCTGCCGTCTTGTGCGTAGTTGATTGCCTGGCAAGTCTGAACGCCGAATCATCTGCAAACTGCGCGGGCGTAGACGCTGACGAACGGCTTCTGCCAGGCTGCAAAGGAGGATCGGGCATAATGCAAATTGGCTCGCGTAGTCATTGCTGACCTTAGCCGACCCCTGCAGCTTTTGTGCGGCGTGCATGCACTGTCGGTTCTTAGTCACGTATCCAATGGACAGCAAGAGGTCCTGGGCGCCCAGGGGTAACCCAGCGGAGCTCCACATTGCCAGCACGCCCATAAAAACCGGGAGCAAGGTCGGGGTCGATTTGTTAATTAAGCCTCAAGCAGCTCGGGCTCGGTCACCAAAAACACAGCCCATCCCAAGACCTCGTGATAGTCTGCAACTCCACAGCTTGCTTGGCTTTGCTCCAGCGGTGCTCATCAAGAAGCTTACGGGGCCTCAGAAGCACTTGCAGGGAGGACCTTGTGGGCACCCGCGCCATCCGCACTTGAATAGGCTCACTGTGAAGATGCAACGTTGGCTTGGCAAGGTCATGTGGTGCCGTACAAATCTCATAATGGACACGCACGCACCACGAGCAAACGCTCGGCTCACCACACAATAGCCCAGCACGCGGTCTGCAAGCCGGCAGGTGCCTTCAGTAGTGGCCACCACTACAGCATCAACTGCGGCAGGCCACCAACTGCAATGCAGAACTCTGGGTTCGATAGAGAACTCTCCACACAATATGAACGGAAAACCGAAAGACGGCAGCACGCTGCCTAGCTTGCATAGTATGCTCTAGTTCAGAGGAGCCACCCCAGGATTATGGTGAATCTACATGCTAGCAACAGCAAGGCCTCCAGGAAGAACGCCTCCGAAAGGTAACATACCAGCTTTGCCAAGTCATAAAACGTCAGAAGTTCCGAACACTCGAGGCAAACCGGCACTTGCTGGTCGCCAGAATCAAACCTCCAGGGGATACACAACGTACCGTGGGCAAGGAAGGCAGAACACACGCGGGCTCGTCCTCCAAGGTCTCTCAGGGTGGCTTCCTGGGGTTCCATGTCAATGATGTGGGCCTCCTGAATAGCCAGGACACCAACACACAACATGAACGGAGGGGAGGAACCCGTCAAGCTCGGAACGCTCGGTAGCATCGCAGGTGGCAAAGGACCAGGCACGCGGCGCACGACGCCTGGACTCCACTCGGGATGCTCCAAGACGGCCCAAGATCGCCCCCAGAGACCTCAGGCAGGGCCCCAAAACGGCCCAATGGGGTCCCACGACGGCCCAAGAGGCGCCAAGACGGCCAAAAAGGGGCCCCCAACACTGCTTCCGCAGGCGGCCCAGACGGGGAGCCCGAACGGATGCTTCAAGCCTTCGCCCCCCCCCCCCCCCGCGGGGCCCCACGAAGCCTCCAAGAGGCCCCCAAGGAGGTCCTCACAATCCAATGCCTCCCCAAGAGGCCCCAAGGGGCCCCCAAGAGGAGGCCCCAGGAAGTCCCCAACATACTCCCCAAAGGCCCCCGAGAGGCCTCCCAGGGACCCCAAGACGCCTTCCGGAGAAGCGTCTCGTCCACGACCACCAAGAGGCTCCCAAGAGGCCCCAGTCAGGTCCCTATGATGTCACACAAATACCAGCAAGAGGCCCCCGAGAGGCCTCCCAAGAACCCCTCGGAGCCTCCCAAAGAGGCGCCTTGTCCACGACCAAGTTTGGCCCCAAAATGCCCCAACAAATCTTCGAAGCCTCCTCCTTGTCCTCGTCCTCCCCTCTTCCTCCTCCTCGTCCTCGTCCTCCTCCTCCTTCTCCTTCTCGCCAGGATCCCCCCACCCAATACCATGACGGCCCCCTAAACAAGTCTCCCCCGAAACAACTACACAGGAGCGACCACCGCCCAGCAGCACCACATGAGCATCTAACGCGCGGGCAAGAACCAGCCATATTGACGGGCTGGCGGAATGAGCGAAGCGATTACCAAACTGTGGTAGGGACCAATGACGAGGGAGCTTGGAGGGAGGGTTGATTGCAACAACGTCGATGCGTCCTGGGTCTGCACTCGTCCTCCTTCTGCTTCTCCTCTTCCTCCTTCCTCCTCCCTCCCTTCCTCCTCCTTCCCTTCCTTTCTCCTCCTCCTACCCGTACTACTAATTCTACTACTACTACTACTATATACTACTTACTTACTATACTACTATACTTACTACTTACTCCTACTACTTCACTTACCTACTACTACTACTACTACAACTATAACTACCTTACTACTACTACTACTCTACTACTTTACTAATAAAATAAACACTACCACTACTACTACTACTACTACTTACTACTACTACTTACTACTACTACTACTACTACTACTTCCCCCCTACCATTTACTACTACTTACTACTACTTACTACTACTACTACTACTATCTATACTACTACTACTACTACTACTACTACCTATTTACTACTACTACTTACTACTACTACTACATACTTACTACTACTACTACTACCTTACTACTACTACTACTACTCACTACTTACTACTACTATTTATTATACTACTACTATTACTACTGACTACTACTACTACTACTACTACTCTAACTACTACTACTACTACTACTACTACTATACTACTACTACTATACTACTACTACTCTACGACTACTACTTACTACTACTTACTACTACTACTACGAACGACGACGACGACGTCACGACGACGACGACGAGGACGACGACGGACGACGGACGGATGGCCGACAGACTAACTACTACTACTACTACTACTAGTAGTACTAGTACTAGTACTAATACTAGTACTAGTACTAGTACTACTACTACTACTACTACTACTACTACTACTACTACTACTACTACTACTACTACTACTACTACTACTACCACTACCACTACTACTACTACTACTACTACTACTACTACTACTACTGCTACTACTACTTCCCAGGTTCCCAGAGGGGTCTCAAGTCGAACTATACATCACATCATCAACCCTCACCTCACAAGACCAGCTTCTTAGCAGGTCTCCTCCTCCTCCTCCTCCTTCTCCTCCTCCTCGGGAGTCGCCGCAGCAGTCGCCGCCGCAACAGCTCACTTCTTGCCGCCGTCGCCCATGGCCCGGTGGCGGCCCGTGGTCTTGGTGTGCTGGCCGCGCACGCGGATGCCCCAGTAGTGCCGGATGCCCCTGGGGGGCCGCCCGCGGAGGGGCGCGGCGGGTGCAAACCTGCAGAGAGGGCACCTGGACCTGCCACGCCGCGCGGTGTACGGGGGTTGCCAGATGCGGCCCTGTCCCAAGGCCCCCCCCCCAACTGTTCGCGCCACGTTGAAGCCACCGGGCCCAGGTGGGCCTCGCGCCGGGGTGCTCTGGGGCCACGCGGTGCTCTCAGGGCCACCGCGGGCCAGCGGCCACGCCCGAGAGGTGCTTCTGCTTCCCTGGCGGGTCCTCCTCGGCTTTGGTTTCCGGGAGCCCCGTCTTCGGCCTCCCCGTCGGGCCAGCAAGTCGTGGGTCCGGGGCTACAGTGCTACAGCCTACCCCGCAATGGGACCCGCGGGCTGACAGGCCGCCTGTGCGACGAAGAGAGCGAAAGGGTCTCGCGCACGACGGCATGGCGGCCTTGCCAGCGCAGCACACGGCGCGGAAACGAGGGCACTTGCGCGCGACCTGGCGCTTGCAGCTCGGGCGCAGATGTCCGCGCGATCGGCTGCGCCGCTCGGGTGGTAAAGGTTCCCCCCATGGGCGTCCGTGCTGAAGCAGTCGCAGCAGCGGCGTCAGGATGCAAGGATGAGGGGGGACGACATGGGGGGACACGATCATGAGGGGGAACGTGACCTGGAATCGGCGATGCATCGCCGATGGATCGGCGTTAGGCCCCCGATAGTGAATCGGCACGCTCCTGGGCGGGGTGGGCCAGGCTATCAGGCCCATTTCGGCGAAGAGAAGGCGATTAGGGGTCGATGCATCCTCGCCCCCACTCTGAGCCTACCCCCTCCCTACCGTTGCCCCAGATCTTCCTCCTCCTCCTCCTCCTTCTCCTCCTCCTCCTCCTCCTCTGGGCCCCTGGGTGCCTCCCCGTGTGCTGGCTCGGGAGCTGTTCTTGGGGGCCTTCGTCGAGCCAGGGGCCCAGCCAGGAGGAGAGCGGAGTGCTGCTGCTCCGAGATGTTGAGCGGGTCAGGACCTCTGCCTGGCCGGCTGCCTTCAGGCTTTCGGCTTCAATGAGGCTGAAGCCCGCTCTCTCGGCGCAGAGCTGTGGCAGAAGGAAGCCGAAGAGATCGATCCCGCAGAGGAGGATGATTTAATGTCCTAAGGGGGTCCTGTCGCTGGCCAGCGGGTGGCCCGTCAAAGCCACCCGCGGTGACAAGAAGGTCCTCTCCGAAGCCCCCCCCTAGGGTTTTTTTCCGACAAGCTCTCTCTCTCTCTCTCTCTCTCTTCCTCTCAGTGGCGTGCATTCCTCCTCCTCCTCCTCCTCCTCCTCCTCCTCCTCGTCGCCGCACATCGCGCCGCTCCTGTGCAGGCGCACGCGCTTCATGCGCTCCAGGTCCTCGCGGAGCGCCTGGTCGAGGAAGTTGGCGTACTTCTGCGACGTCTTGCCGTCCTTGACGTCCTCGAGGCAGGGGAGGGGGGGACGGGACGACGAGCGGCCACGCGCCCAGGAGGGAGGTGAGAGGGAGGTGAGAGGGAGGAGGAGAGGGAGGAGGAGGAGGAGGAGGAGGAGGAGGAGGAGGAGGAGGAGGAGGAGGAGGAGGAGGAGGAGGAGGAGGAGGAGGAGGAGGAGGAGGAGGGGAAGGAGGAGAAGGAGGAGGAGGAGCACGACGGGGCTTCGGATAATCGTGCAGTGCGCCGCTGGCTCCCAATCTCCAAGGGCAGGCACAGACCTTCCAGGGACTTGCCGCCAGGGCGGAACACGTAGGCGCCAGCCCAAGAAGCAGTAGACTTGGCAGGCGAAGGCCTGTGCATACTCGCTGCGTGACTTCGAACTGAGGCTTGGCAACAGCATGGGGTCCGTGCGAGATGGCGGGGCTCGGCTCCATCAGAAAGCCCGCCCCCTCTGCCTTGCCCCCTGGCCGCGCCGCCGAGGTGACGAGACGAGCGCCAGAGCCGGGCGTGGCCAGGGGGGGGGCCGCACGTGCCAATCGAGGCATGGCGTTGGAGGGCGCAGCCTCGGCAAAGGACGGAGGGAGGGAGGTCAGGGGCAACGTTGGGGGGACACGAAGTTTCGATACTCGAGGCTCGAGCGGTTCGAGGTCAGGTTTCCTCGGCGGCTTTCCAGCCTCGCGATGCCCTCCGGCGGCCGCGCGCCGTCGCGCTCCCGGGGTGCCCGCGCCGTCCCGAGCGGCCGTGGAGGGCCCGCGAGCCATCAGGGGACCGTCTCAGGGGTGCCCAGACCTCGCCCGCCAGCTCAGGGCATCGGGTCGGGCGAAAGGGGGGGATAGCAAAGGGGGGGGTGAGAATGAGCTCACGTAGCTGATTTTCCCGGCGCCTCCCAGCGCCGGAGGCGGCTCATGTATCGACGCATGGGCCCTTCGGTGAAGCCGAAACCAGCTGCATGCAGCAAATTTCGTAACCCCCCCTTTCCCAATCCCCCCCTTTCGTCCGGCCCGAGGGCAGCGGGTTATGTGGCTCCCATCGCAACAGTGTCGGACGAGTGTCCCCCAGGGCCCGACACTTGAAAACCTTCGGGTTTGGGGGCATTTTTCTGGTGCTCGAAATTCATTCTGGTGGTCAAGGCTAAAATAGGTTGGAACATCATAAGCAGCGGGGGCGAGGGCCGCCTACATCTCGAGGAGCGCGCCGCTGCCGTCGGCGGCGGTGAGTTCGGGCGCCCGCCAGACGCCGTGGCGACGCTGGCGGGGTGTGGCGGCTCCGCGCACGCAATCTCCGATGGTGAGGCCGCGCGGGTGCCAGAAGGCAAGCCGGCCTCCGAGCGCAGCAGTTCCGCATGCTGCTGCCGAGGCGCCGCTAGGCTCGTGCAGAGGACGTGAACGTCGGGGGGCCGAGGTCGGGGACTGCACAGTCGCTTGCAGCAGCCGCTCTGGAATCGCCCGTGTGCGCAGTCGTCGCTTGGGCGTGAGCGTACAGTCGGCCCGTGTCATAAGGATGCGTGACAAGGATGCAAGGGCCTTGGACGCCCACTTCGAAGCTTTTCGAGCGGGGCGCGGCCAACGAAAGTGGCCACGGATAATTAGGCTGAGGGGGAAAGGATGCAAGGGTACCCATTGAGAAAATTGCCGATGCTTGCTATACAGGTCGACTGTACGGAAATGCGTGCCAGGCCTGAAGCGACGTCGGCAATCGCGCGCAGCTGCCGCTGGGGAAACAGCACGAGAAGGCCGCAGAGTGCGTCTGCCTCGTGTTCCCCGTGCTGGGCCTGGACCGCGTCGTTAAGTGAGGCCGGTGGCTTCGGGCTGGTGGTCGCGGTGGTCGAGTGTGCGAGGACGGAGCCCGTGGTGTTGTGCGGGGTGGTGCTCGTGGCTGCGCTGCCTGACCGCGGGTGTGAGCGCTCAGCAAGCCTGTGGGCTGCGGTCCGTCCGCGGCAAGTTCCGCGGGGGCCTGCGTGCCGTCGTCAGCAGGGGGGTGGCCACGAGCCAGACACTGCCGCAGACCCGGGAGGCCCCAACAACTCGCCACCAGTGTCAAAACGTGGTCGCTGTCGGGCCCCCCCCCCCCTCCCTCCCCCCGGGGTGCTGCTAGCGACGGAGCAGGCTCAGCGCCTGGGCACCCGCTGGTGGCAGCAGGGACCTGCTGAGCAAGGGAGCCTCTGCGAAGAACGGCTGAGAGCCGCAGGGCCGGACGAGGCGCAAGCTCGGCGGACATGGACGAGGACGGAGCCTCTGCGAAGAAGGGATGGAGGACTGAAGGACCTGCACAAAGCACAAGTTTCGTGCGTTGTGTGTGCGGATGAGGTGTGTGGTGTGTGGGTGTGTGGTGCTTCGCCCATCCCAAACCTCATGCCCGGATGGTTGCTGGCTCGCGCCGTGGCGCGTGCGGTATTGGGAGCTCGGCCGGGGAGTTGCGCGTACGGATTTCGCGCTGGTACTTTGACCTTCTACGCCCGCCGCAGGCCAAGGTGCCGCCCCGTATGTGTGTGTGTGGTGTGCTGCCTGTGTGTGGCGTGTCGCGTGAGTCGCGTGTTTGTGTTGTGTGGTGTTGCGTGTGGTGTGTGTGTGCGTGTGTGGTGTGTGTGTATGTGTGTGTGTGTGCGTGCGTTGCGTGCGTGCGCGCGTGTGTGTAGTGTTGTGTAGTGTGTGTGTGTGTGTGTGTGTTGCGTGCGTGCGTGTGTCTGTGTTGTGTGTCGTGCGCAAAGCGGCGTGCGTTGCGTGCGTGCGTGCGTGCGTTGTGCAGTTGCGTGGTGTGCCGCGTCGCGAGTCGTGGAATGGAGGCGTGTGCGCCGTGCGCGTGTGCCGCGCGTGCGCGCGTGGCGCGTGTGGCGAGTGCGCGTGTGAGAGAGAGAAAGAGGCAGTACAGTATGCGTGGGTGGGTGCGATTGTGTGTGTGTGTGTGTGTGTGGTGTGTGTGTGTGGTTGCGCGCATGTCGCGCGTATTGTGCGCGTGTGCGCGTGTTGCGCGGAGATGCAGGCGTGTGCGTGTGTGTGTGTGTGTGTGCGTTTGTGTGTGTGTGTGTGCGTGTGTGTGTGTGTGTGTGTGTGTGTGTGTGTGTGCGTGTGTATGTGTGTGTGTGTCTGTGAGCGCATGAGCGCTTGTGCGCGCGTGCGCATGTGCGTGTGTCTGTGAGCGCATGTGCGCTTGTGCGCGCGTGCGCGTGTGCGTATGTGTGTGTGTGTGTGTGTTCTGTGTATGTGTGCGTGTGGTGTGTATTTGTGCTTGTGTGTGTGTCCGCATGTGCGCGTGTGCGCGCGTGCGCGTTCCTGGCGGCGTGCTCCTCACATCGTGATTCTCCTGATACGCGTGGAGTAGTGCGCGTGAGAGCCCGTGTGCGTGCGTGACGGACCGCCCGCGCATGAGACGGAGTACGCGCGTGTGCGCATGTGCGAATGTGCGTGGTGTGTGTGTGTTGTGTTGTGTGAGTGATGCGAGTTGGTGTGTGTGTGCGCGTATGTGAAGATTGTTGCGTTATTGCCGTGCGCGCGTGGTGCGCGTCGTGCGCGCGTGGCGCCGGGTGCGCGTGCACGGCTGTGCGAGTTGTGCGTGGAGTTCGCGTGTGCGCTGTGCTGCGTGTGAGCATATGTGTGTGTGTCCTGTGTGCATGCGGCATGGTGTGTGTGTGTGTATGCGTGTGTGCACGCGAATGTGCGCGTAGTGCGCGCGTGCGAGAGTGCGCGCAGGCGCGTAACACTATGTTGTTTCGTAGTGCGTATACTGTGTGTGTGTGTGTGTGTGTTGTGTGTTGCGTGTTGTGGCGTGTGAGTGTCCGTGCGAGACAATGTGAGCAATGATGGCGATAATACGTATGTTAAGTTGAGCGCGATTACTACTCGGAAAACTTGCGAGAACCTTGTAGGTAGTGTACGTGGTGTTTGTTATTTTGTGTGTGGTGTCGTGTGCGAAGCGGCATGTAGTGCGTGTGTGCGCTCAGCGTGGCTGGCGCGTACCGGTGCGCGTGTGTTGAGTTTCTGTCGTGAGCGCGCGAGACCGTGTGCGCGTGTGCGCGTGTGCGCGTGTGCGCGTGCGCCCATGCGTGTGTGTGTGTGTGTGTATGTATGTGTTTGCGTATGTGTGTGTGTGTGTGTGTGCGTGTGTGTGTGTGTGCGCGTGCATGTGCACGTGTGCTCGCGTGCGCGTGTGTGCGTGTGTGCGTGTGCGCGTGTGCGTGTGTGCGCGTGTGCGCGTGTGCGCGTGTGCGCATGTGCGCATGTGCGTGTGTGTGTGTGTGTGTGTGTGTGTGTGTGTGTGCGTATGTTCTCCAATCAGAGCTTGCCTATGCAGGGGTCCTAGCGGATTCATATTGTTATTTGAGGTGTGTCGCCGATTTCGGTGGCCGGCCCGGGGGCCCGGGGGCCCAGATGCCCGGGAGTGCCCCGGGGTGCCCGGGGGCCTGGGGCTGCCCGGGTGCCGGGGGTTCCCGGATGTGCCTGGGAGTGCCTGGAGGTGCCCGGGGGTGCCCGGAGGTGCCAGGGGGTGCCCGGGTGCTCTATCGCCCTATAGCCCTATAGCAATACAGCCCGATAGCCCTATAGCCCTAGCCTATAGCCCTACAGCCCTATAGCCCTCATGGACTTCATAGCCCTCGCAGACTTCATAAACCTAATGAGCAATTGCAAAAGGATCTCATGTAAGATCAACAAAAGCTTTGATTGGGTTTTTCTCCGGTATCATGAGTGAGTGTGCGTGTGGGTGTGGGTGTGTGAGTGTGTGCCTCCCCTCCTCGCGCCTTCCTCTGCTCTTGTCGGGCCCCCCTGCGGGGGGGGACCCGCGGCACTCCCAGGGCACTGGCACCTGGCCCAGCAGGGCCAGCGTGCCCGGGGGAGGGGACCAGGCTCAGCCAAAAGATTGCTGGCAGTATCTCAAGGGGCCCCGTCGGGCCTCTTTCGTACAGTTTTTCCTTCTGGGCATTGGCCCTGTCGATCTGTTCTTCCAGGCCCGGTCTCCTCGCACGAGTTCGCCTCTCGCAGCTCGACTCGTGCGGCAACCCTCGGCCTGCCGACCTCCCGACTCTCGATCTACTTCTGCGCTCCGTTTCTGGCCTCCGGCCTGCCGGGGCAGGGTCTCGACGGAGGCTCGCTCCTCGAATGCCCCCGGGGGACGTGCAGCCTCCTCGTTCTCGCGTCGGGTTTGCCTGTTCCGTGCCTGGTCCGCATCCGTACGGTCGAACCTGGGACAGAGGAGCATCCCCCAAGAAGAGGAGACCCTCCGCTGGCCAGAACACGCAGAGCATCCAAGGGTACCCTACCAATGGTGCACAAGAACATTCAACACTCACGACGAACATCAGGTTTCCCTCCCCGAACCGACCTCTATCTTATACCTCGGTCCGACTGTACAGCGTTCATGCTGTGGTCCTTTGGAGCTCGTTCTCTCCCTTCCTCCTCGTCCATCCTCCTCTCCTGTCGTCGCCGTCCCCGCCTCACCGTGCTTTCCCCCTCTCCTCCTGGAGGCCCTGCCTCTCGTAGGATGTCACATGCTTTGGCGCGCACTCTGTCCCCCTCTCTTCGTCCCTCTCTCCTCCCGTCGTCGTCGTCGTCGTCGTCGCCGCCGTCGTCGTCGTCGTCGTCGTCGTCGTCGTCGTCGTCGTCGTCGTCGTCGTCGTCGTCGGCGTCGTCCCCTCCTCGCAGCGCTTCCCCCCCCCCCTCCCCGTTCACGAGCCCGCCCGGTATGGCGTCAGGCAGCCGCTTTCAGGATGTGAGATGCTGCAAGCGCGCACGCTCTTCCATCCTCCTCGTCCCTCTCTTCTCCTGTCTTCGCCTTCCCCGCTTCCCCGTGCTGCCACCCCCTCTCCCCCTCCCACCACTGGACCCCCTGGCGCGCTGGCGGCCTCTGGATGTCGCCGCCGCGCGGCCCTACAGGATGCGCGCCAATGGTGGAAGGACGACTAGCTTTGGAAGCCGGGCAAGGGCTGCTAAATCCGTGGCTGCTAAAATCGACCTCCGGGAAGTTGTCTTCGTCCTTCCGGGAAGAAGCCTGTTGACTGTTTCGCGTGCCGCGCCTCATTCCGGGAAGTTGTTTCTTCCTTCCGGGAGTGCCGTTTTAGCAGCCACGGTTTTCGCAGCCCTCGCCCAGCTTCCGATAGCTGCACGGACATACGCTGCCAAAGGTCCGCTCGGACTTCTCGAATCGGCGAGGCGCCCCCTGGCGGCGCCTCCGGCACCGCCCCTGGCGCGCTCCGCGCGCCAGGGGCGGGGGCATACAGCGCCGATCCAAGAAATCCGCGCGGAGCTAGAGGCCTCCTAGATGGGGTCGGAGTAGATGGGGTCGGAGGATCGCGCCGCATTGCCGATACATCGGCGATGCATCGCCGATGCATCGGCGATGCATCGGCGATGCACTGCCGACGTCGGCGATGCATCGGCGACGTCGGCGTGGGGAAAAAAGGGCCCCACATCGAGCCGCATCGGCGATGCATCGGCGATGTGGCACGATCCTTCGACCCCATCTACTCCGACCCCATCTGGGAGGCCTAGAGGAGCTCTGAAAGTTAATGCTGAGGCCGCTTGTTCTTCCTCGACAACAGGACGCGCGCCGATGGGCCTCATATGATGCACCTCACGCCGGGGAAGGCGTCGCGCAGTTCCCTGCCGTCCGCGAAGAAGCAGCCGTTGTACAGGATCGGCTTCGGCAGGGTCCCCTCATGATGCCGGTCCAGGATCTCGTCTATGATCTTCTTTGACACGTCCGGGTCCACCGCGTGGTGGGCGGTGTAGAAGGCCATGGCCGCCCCCTTTGGGTGGTAGCGCGGATCGCTGATTATCTGCGACTTGGACGCCCCGCATTTCTGGGACGCGTTCGCCCTCAGGAGGCGGTAGAAGTCTCTGGGGTCGACGTTGTCGTACTTGCACCACTGCTTGTGCCCCATGTCGTTCCAGGTGCCGACGTTGAGCAGAGCCTCGTCCTTGGGAGAACGAAGAAAACAGTACCAGCTTAAGCTTGGAAGTCAGCGCAGATTTCTTGGGTCGGCGCTGGGCACATCTCCTCTGGCGTGGGGAGCGCGCTGGGGGCGGCGCTGGCAGTGCCGCCCGCGGGGGTCCGAACTGACCCGAGAACTCAGCGCGGACCTCTGAAATATGATGCTCGTGCCCAATTCTGCGCCTCGAATCCTCGGGGATGTCCCCCACGCGAAGCGCGGTGTCTGGCCGGCCCGGGCGCGCGGGGAGAGTCTCGTCGCGAAGGTGGCGCCGGAGCCAGCGGCCCAGCCAGGGCAGGGCCCAGAACGTCCAGGTCGGGTGCGCGTGGCCCCAGCGCAGGGGCACGTCCGAGCAGTTCATGCGCCGGCTACACGCAGGGACGACGCCGCGCAAGAGCGACCTTTGGTGCGCGGCCCGCTGGTCGCGGAGTGCGGCGCGACAGCAGCGGCCTGCGTGCTCGTGTGTGGCCCTGGCGTGCACCCCCGGACAGCCGCGCCCCAGGGGTCGCTCTGGCGCAGGGCCACTCTTGCGTATGGCCGCCTTCGCCACTGGCCGCCCTGCTCGCCCCCAGGGCAGAAGCGGGAGGTGAAGATGGTGCTCTTGCGCTGCTTCTCCTGAGGGGCTGATTTTCCACCACCGCTACCATAGGTAGAAGAAGGAGGAGGAGGAGGAGCAGGAGGAGGAGGACCAGGAGGAGGAGGAGGAGGAGGAGGAGGAGGAGGAGGAGCAGGAGGAGAAGGAGGAGGAGGCCGAGAAAGAGGAAGAAGAGGAGGAGGAGGAGGAGAAGGACCTCCCCAGCCTCCCTTCTCCCCTTTCCTACCTAGTGGTAGCGGTGGCGGAAAATTGGCCCATCATCTCCTGGTCCTTGGGCCACATGGGCAGCTGCTCGTTCGTCAGGAAGTGCACGGGCAGGATCGGCATCGGGTAGTCCTCGGAGCTCTCCTCCGCGGCGCGGCTGAAGAGGGCGTCCACGCCGGGGGCGACGAACTGATCCGAGTCGAGCTGGATACCCGTGCGCACCCGCGCGAGCAGCATGGCCCTGTATTTGTTGAAGCAGAAGCGCCGCCTGTGGCAGAAGAAACAAGCACCAGTACGGACATCATCTCTTTGCTGGAGGCTCCGCGCGGATCTCTCCCGGGTCAGCGCTGGGCCCGCGTTGGCGGCGCCTCTGGCTCCGCTCCCCGGCGCGCTCCGCTCGCCGTGGGGAGGGGGACCCAACGCCGATCCAACGAGCCCGCGCG